ATTTATAAATCCTTTTGTCTTCTACCATTGAGATATAAACTGTCCTATCTTTTAAGTTGGATCAAACTGGACACCGCCTCTTAAATTTTACCAAAATTGGTTCAGTAGTTTAGGAGTTTACCCCGGACAAAACGTGTATGTATATATAAAATTATTTTTCAATCAAACCTGCTTTGTGTCTTGATAATTTGTTTTATATGACATATTTTTCAGCACTAATTTATAGCTTTATATACATTTCCACGATTTAACTAAAATTTTCCTTAAAAGTCTCACTGAAAAGTTTTCCACACGATTTCTCATAAATATCATTAACAAGCACTGCTTAATGCGCTAAAATTTGAATAAATCATACATATGCACAAACAAACTTCCACTTTATTGCTGTTGCTATATTGTTGTTGTAGTTTAACCAGCAACATTCCACAACACTGGGGATCAATTCACACCCACAACTCAGTTATTTGCACAGAACACGCCTTAAACGATGAATGTCGGCATGTTTAAGTGCATTTATACTTATTATCATATATAATACATACATATAATATGTACATCAGACCTGATTTATTTTATGTTAGTTATGTTTATATAATTGCAGCCTATTTTCACTACAATTCAGTGGGCTGCATTTGCATTGATATTAATTTACATAGCACGCTTACTTATGTACGTCGGTTAATATATATATTTATTTACCTTCCGGTGAGTTAAATAACTCTTCCCAAACGTTCACAGTTATTTCACGCGAATATGTATATTATTATATTGTTTGTTTTTGCACTATTTGCCACGTCTAGTTATAGCCACGCTATACTTGTCGCCACTAACTGTTATTGTTGTTGTTACTTTTATTATACCAACGTTTATTGCATGTATTTGAATTTTATATAAAAGCCATAAGCATAATTTAATTACTTTTTTGTGTTTATTTTTTTATTTTTTTTTCGAACCGAAACTGTAACACGACTCAATCGTGGAATTTGATACCGACTCGGCACAGAGAAGTGCGCCCGCAACTCTGTTTGACAACCACTTGTAAATAAATGATACGAAATATGAAATGAGTTTGGGTATGAAAAGGTTATATGTTGATACAACCGCCGTCGTATCGAATTTTCACGTCCGCAATTGTCGCTGATTCGTTAAAAACTAAACCGAATTGTTTAGCTTGTCGTCTTAACTGTGGTGAAATGTCAGTTGAATTAAAGCCGTGCACGTAAAGTTACTCACCAGGTGAGTTTCCATCGGTTAGTGGGAAGGCAGCTAGCGAAAGAGAGGGAATGTATATCTGTGAGCATGGTACAGAGAGTGCAAGAGTTGAACTCACCTGTTGTATATCGACCTTTTGAAGCCACTGTTTCGCTAACTGCTGCAATTTCCTATGCAGTTCGATGTGGGAGGAATATCGCTCTCTCACGTTTTGCCAAACTTATTGGTAGCTTGTTGAGAGTTGTAAAATATTATAGCGAGACACAAAACACACTGTTCAATAAAAATTTGCCTACAACATTTTTAAAGTTAACTGTTAAGTTTAGTCGCTTCGCTTCCTTATCCAGTCTAGAGAAAGCAGAGCTAATGGCAAGGTTGTTGATGGCAATCCACTTACTTCTATTATTTTCTCCAGCAATACATTGAAGAAATCATACTATAGAGAGCCTCCTTGTCTGAAACCTCGCTTAGTATCGAACGACTCGGAAAGGTATTTCTTAATCCTGACGGAGCTTTTGGTGCTGCTTAACGTCAGCTTACACAGCCGTATTAGCGACGTAAAGGTAGCTCCTTTTCGTGCTGTCGAAGGTGGCTTTAAAATCGACGGAGGTGGTGTGTGTAGAATTTCCTTTGACAAGTATTTTCCAATATTTGGCGCATGGTGAAAATCTGATCGATTGTAAATTTTCCAGGCATTAACCTACACTCATAAGATCCAATCAGTTTATTGACGTCGGGCTTCAGTCTTTTACACAGTACGCTCGATAGAACGTTATATGCGATGTTGAGGAGGTAGTTGGCGCAGATTGTGGAGTCTCCTTTTTGTGGATGGGCCAAAGCATTCGTAAATTTCAGTCATCGGGCATGCCTTCCTACCGTATTCTATATATCTCTATATATATCAGAAGCACAACATGCTTATCGTAAAGATAAGTCAGTAGATACTGCCTTGCATTAGGATTAAGGAATTCGCTGTTGAGCCCTGCCCTTGCTGCTCTGGACAGTCGTGTTTTTGAATCAAATCTCAAATGCATCATTCTCAGTCTTCTGTGCGACAGAGTGATTGAAACGAAATGGGGCAACGCACGCGCTCCACGAAGTGTGAGTAGGGGAACCCCACAAGATCTCCTATCTCCTCTTCTATGGATCCTGATCGACATCAACCCAAGTAAAACCGAGATGGTTTTATTTACTAGTAGATATAAGATCCCGGTGGCAGCGGTGCCGCGAATAGGAGACATCCATCTGCATCCGGCGGATACAGTGAAATATCTACGACTCATCCTGGTTAAGAAGCTTTCATGGAAGCCGAATATCGAAGAGAGAGCAAAGAAGGCACCGATTGCCTTATAATTTTATAGAGGAGCCAATGGCAAAAGACCCCACTTGCAAAAAAACTCAAAAGTGTTCAACGGGCGGTGCTCATAAGCATGTGTGGTGCACTAAGATTCACTCCAACATCCACGGAAGGTGTATGGCTACAAAATTTCCAATCAGACTCAGAGAATTTGAGTTCTTAAAAGAAAACGTATGTGAACACTCGGATATCCTCACACACTTTGACTTCATACCGGCTCACTTGGATCAGGGAGTAGCCCATATATCGACGAGGGAGTTGTGGGTGGAAAGAAACCGTTGGAGAAGATGGGCAGTGATCTTCTTTACGGATGACTCAAAGCTTGGGGGAAGGTTGGTGGAGGAATGTGACCGTTCAGATAGCAGAGCCACGATACTAGGCTTGAACTCATTAACAGCGCGTTCAGACCTGGTCTAGGAGTGCCTAATCTCGCTATCAATAGCATCGACTGTATTTGTGATAAAAATGGTATAGGTGCCATAGCGGAATCGAACGAAATTGCAAAGCTGATGAGCTAGCAAGGAAAAACACAATAGAACTGCTATCTGTAGAATGAGAACGGGTCGGTACTCCGTATTCTCTTGGCAGGTCAAGATCTAAACACTTGGGAGCGCACACCTCCAGACAACCCAGTTCAGTTGGAGGGATTGGAAATTAAATGCCTGTACAAATTTGTATGGACTACTAAGCGTTTTGGTAAATTATAGTTCGAACAGAGGTGTTCTTCTTTTCTGTAGCTTCGCAAAGAACGAGCCTAACCTATCTGTACTGAATCCAAGCACGATTTGACGGTGATACTGCCCATTGCTGTGGCCCTAAAAACTTGATACAAACATTTTGTAGCTGCCACATTTCAAGGGTCTAATGGTACCACTGAGAACCAGCTTTTAGACAGCCTGGCTCTGGAACCCACAAACTTCACAAAGTATAAAAATTTAGTCCGCTTTCAGTGTGTTTCACATTGGAGATTATATAAAAAAAATGCATATCTTTTTTTTTAGAAAAAAGGATTTTGTTTTATTGAATATCATTTATACAAGCTCATGCAGCTTATAACGTTACACAAATATCTGTTGTTTTTTATGTAGAGGCAATTGTTTTTTTTTTTTTATATGTATGTATATCTGCATGTGAGTCTGTAAATAAAACGAAAAATCTTAAATATTCGAACAAACGCAATGCATTTTGTCTAATTTGCTAATATGAGTGTCACAATTTAATTTTAAATAATTTTCAATTATTTGTTTTTGTTAAATGTAAATTTCTGTTTGTTTCATTGCATATCTAATTAAAATTTTAATTTGTTTATGTATTTCACTTGGCGGCTACTGCTGCCCCTCCATCCCGCATAAAGTAACGCCATATCGCAGCGGGGGTGTGGGGAGCGCATGCGCAGCATTTTTTATAATTTTTTACGTGTTTTTCATTTATTTTTTTTTTAAGTCAGTCGGAATTATGTACGAGTAAATTCTACATTTGCATTATTTAGACTATAGCATATAAAACTTCAGTGAATACAAGACGCGGCATAACGGAACAAAACATACGAAAAGCTTATGTTTGTTGCACGAACGTTGCGTAAGAATGGGTGCAAAATGTTTCAACTTATAATTAGATTTAATATAATAAATTCGCATTCGTAGCGTTTCCTATGTGTTGCAACATTTTTTGTGTGTATGTATGTATGTGTATCTTAAAGAGTTTCGCACCTAAATTTACAGTTGCTATTCATAACGGAAAGTTTTCATTGTTTCACTTTTACAAGTTTATGTTTGTATGTATGAGTGTTGGTATTTTTTTTTTTTTGCTTACATATTTATGTAAGTGTGTGTATATGTAAATGTTAATGTTTAATTCTAACGGTTCATTGTTGTGAATAAGTGTGTGCTTTTATATGTAACATTGCTGCTCAGCAAGTGGGTGGTTATAATATTAAAATTTTTAAGTTAAATTATAAACCTAATTTCAAAAATTATAATCCACAAATTTTAAT